GGTTTTCGTGGTGTCGATTTTTTCGGTCGCATCGTAATATTCACTTTCGTCTCAACTTTTTCCTAAACACGCGCAAAAGAAAGTATATATTATATTATATAAAAAAAAATATAATATTATATATACATAATTATATATTATTTTCAAAAATAAATGACATACACACACATTTGTTGTACATTTAAAAAAATAATAAATAATGATACACATACAGTTTTACATTTAAAATAAAATGATACACATAGAAATCTGTAGATATTCTATTAGTTTCTTTATAATTATCATTTGTATACTATAAACCATAAGAAAATACACACAAATTGCAATAACATTCTCTATAATTATTGCCAAAGCTGAGTTCGGTCTCGTTTTTCTCATAGAAACGATTCTAACGGCAATTAAGTCTCCTTGGCGTCGAACCAATTATGGTTGCCCTCTTGAGAATGTTCCGACACGAAATAGAATGAGAGAGAGAGAGAGAGAGAGAGATAAATAGAAATAGAAAGAGAAAGACACAGATTCTAGAACCGAGACTCGGAGTTTACGTATCCAACGAGTGTGTTCGTGAGAGAGCAGAGTTTTGCGGTCAGCACGAAACTTTCCTGTCACGGAAATTGTCCGTTAAAGGGACCCTACGAAACCTTATCTCTATTTCTAACAAACATACACACGTACCTACATATATAGACACAATCTCACTTTGAGCTTGCAATAATAATTAGTCCTATTACCGAAAGCTAAAAGTATTTTATACTTTAATCAACATGTTTTTTTTTTTATCTTACTTTACAGTGTTATTTATTTTATTTTATTTTATTTTTTGATGATAAAGAAAAGAATAGAAAGTTTATAACAAGTTTCGAAAAAGTAGAAACGAATCATCGAGTTTGTTATTTCGTTATTGGAACGTGTTACATAAGTACGAAAATAAGTTACATTTTTATTTGTTCAAGATCGTTGATTCAGTTTCTTCTTCTTATTCTTCTTATAAATTGTTTTAGAAAAACGAAATTTTGTTTACCCTAATAAAACTGGTATGCCACGTGGTACTCGTAGACAAGTATTAAGAACTAGATAGGGGGGGTCTATCTTTATGTATTTTTATATATTTATGTATGTATGTATGTATGTTTATACGTGTATATAATATAACCCAAAACTCATTTGCATGGTTATAGGAATATTTTATACCCGATAGAAACTCCTTCGAAACAACGATCGGTTTTCATTTTGTGCTTCTTTACTAGATCCCCTTTTATCCATTTCTAAATGTCCTTCTATATTCTATTATAGTTTTTTTTTTTCTTCTCTCTCATGATCAGTGTATATATATATATATATTCTGAGGGTTTTTATTTGTTCGTTTTCTTTTCACATTTACATTTAAGTATCCTATCCTCATAGATAGATCTACATATTTATGTAGATGTGTTCAGTAATAAAAACAGGTTTTTATAGAGTAATGGGACAATTCCAACTTGTTATTTTTTTTTTCTTATTCTTCTTCTTTTTCTCTCGCGATAAGATATTATCATATAATACTATTTTTCCAGCTGTCTTATGTTATCTCTATTATTTTATCTTTTTTTGTTATATGGAATAAATATCATCCTGATACGTGAATATAATGCATATACATTTATTTACAAATAATTATTTTCTCTCTATAATATGTTTAATTAGATATCTGAATTTTAATATTGTTTTTCATCTATTAATACATTTTATATTAAACCTTTTCTTATAAACTAACGTAAAACACATAAAAATTTATTTAATTAGTTTCATTTTGTTACGTTTGTATCTGTAAAATTGTTCGATAAAAGAATCGTTCACGTGTCTGGTTAAGTTAACAGAAATTATTTCATATTTGATTTGATTATTTCTTTAACAATATTTTATTTATACTCTTGATTGACATTTAATATAAACATTATTTAATAAAATACATGAATAAGGATTTATTTCTTTTTTTTTTGTACAGAATCAATCATTGTGATTAGATCACATAATAAAAATTTGTATGCATTAATACAATGTTCGAATAATATCTAAAAAGAATATACTTATCTTCTTTTGCATTCTCTTTCTCTCTTTCGGAGATTGTTTCTATTTTTTTTTTATGTGGAATTTCTCTAACTAGATTTATAAATAAGATCGAAAAAAAAAGGGAGAAACTTAATTTCCGGTTAAACGAGCAAAGCTAGCAAGGCTTCCGAATGTACGGAATCTTCTTTACTTAACATTCACATTGGTATGCAAAGATTCTTGAATTCCAAGCGTTGTTACATGACTTCGATACTATGTACATGGATATATAAGTACATATGTAATATCTACTTATGTATATATGTACTTAAATATATGCACATATAATATATATATATATGAATGTATGTATGTATGTTGAATATAGCTAGCAAGTAACTATGTGATATTATTTAAGTAATAAAAATATAAATTGTAGCATATATTTTCGATTACGTAACATTTTCAACAATCATCAAATTTAAATATAACACGTGATAAGAATCTACATATATATTTATTAAGTATGGTAATAATTTGTATTACCATTTTAATTGCAATATGTTTTTATGTTTAATTAACGAGTACCTAATTTCTAAGTATTTAACATTCTAAAAAGTATAATAAGATAAATTTATAAGCTTTTATTGTTTTATTTATTTGATCAATATTTTCATTAATTATCGATATAAATAATTTATTATTTATATGTAAAACATTTGATTAATACAATATTGTTTTAATTATATACAAATTCATTTATATAATGTGAATTATCAAACCTAACGTACAACAGTGGCTTAAGAATCAACCTAGTACGTTTTTTGTTTCATTTAATTATTATAAATTATATCTTATTTATCTCTTAAAAAAAAAATCACACAGATTTACATTAAATAAAGAAATGTAAAAAAAAGAAAAAACTTATCTCTTCTGTAGGAGATTAAAATTAAGGTTAGAATTTTTACTAGATAATAAAATTTCTTTGTCATGTTAGTTGCGTGATCTCATGTACGAAAAACTTTTCGACAAAATTGATCGTCAATCGTGATTAAAAGTGACATTTAATCTGACAACAAGTTACCAAGAAGGAATCGGGGCCACCAACGTGATTTATTGATTTTTTCCTGCGCGTTTTTCCTCGGTCAAAACTAACGAGCTCGAATTTTTCTTTTTTTTTTTTCCCCTTCCTCCCTCTCCACACTCTCCTACTCGAAAAAAAGAAGAAAGAAGAAGAGAAAAAAAAAACAAGAAGTCAACACTTCTAGTTGAACATTTGGAATGGGACACGAAGTACGTGGTGGGTGGGTGGTTGGGTTGGTTTTCTATTCGTTTTTCTTTTTTTTTCTCGTAAGGGTTGGACTCATATCCCTCCGAGGATAAAAGTTTTCGACGAAGGAAACTTTTCTTTTTTTTTTTTTTTTCCCACGAAAGGGGGGAAAAACTTCGAGAAGATTACATTCCTTTTGGGATACGTAATTTAATAACGATCTTGATGTGAGAATGACCAAAGGATAGTAACTGGGAAAAAGAAAAGAAAAGAAAAATAGAAAAACCAAAAAAAAACAAACAGCATCCTCCTAAAGTGATCCCCCCCCCCTTCTTTTTTCTCTTCTTTTTATTTTTTTTTCTTTAATTTTTCTACGACAGGAGAAAAACGGTAAAGATTTAAATGCATTAGTTTGAAGTACCTTTTACTTTTTATTATTAAAAATAAAAAAGGGATGAATCTTTTATCTTTGCTGTTGCTACTATTGTTGCAAAAATGCAGCAATTATTGCGTTTAGATATTTTTATCTCATCTACCCTTTTTATTTATTTATTTATTTATTTATTTCTATATCTCGTTTTGTCAGATTTATCCTCATTTTACATTTATATGTATAACTATAACTAAACCACAGTTATCGATTGTCTTCTTTCTCGAGAATATTCATGAACAGAGAGAGAGAGAGAGAGACAGAAAGAGATAGGGGATGGGGGTGGAGGAGAAATAGAGATAGGATACTGGTCATCGAAAACGAATTGAATTTATCGATGAATCGTTGTGTGTGTACTGCATTGCGGTGACTTTTCAAACGCAACATAACTATTCCATTGAATTGAAAAGAGAGAGGAGTGGTGCCAAGGGCTCGTTTAGTCCAATTTTCTATCTCTCTCTCTCTTTTGGAAAGTAAATGGTAGAATTCGAATGATTAATTTTATTTATTTATTCTCTCTTAGTTTATATCTATTTATTTATGTGTATATATTTTTTTATTAAGGAATATATTTTTATTATATATATTATATATATTTTTTTATTAATAATAACATTAATAAAATATAATAATATTTTTATAACAATTATAATGATATATATAATATATATATAATATATATTCTTTTTATTAAGGAATATATATATTATATATATATTGTTTTGATTGCACAACTTACAAAGTTTTTTACAATGTCTTATTATTACTATATTTAATATATATTATATATATGTTTCTTTTTCGAATATATTGTATTTTGTTCTATTTCATTGAATATTTTTTTTGTATAAAAAAAAAAACAATAATTGATTAGCAGAGAATTAACAAGAATTCATGAAATCCCCATTAATTTAAACTTTGTTTATACGCCGTACGTAAATACAAACGATCCTTCCCTATCGACGCAATAAGGATTTGTCTCGTTTATTTGAATCGCTATCCCCTTGAATTTCCGGATTTCCACTACCACCCCCCTGTCAACCCTGAATTTATAGAGAAAATCCGTTAGTTCGATAAATCAGAGTACTTGATACGCAAAGACTGTGTTCCGGTTACTCCTGATAATTCTTTTATTCCGACTTTCTTTATTTCTTTCTCTCTCTTTCTCTTTCTAAATACTTTTTTTTTCTCTCTCTCTTTTTTCCCCGATTTTTCTTTCACCATAGAATTTAATCACCATTTTTCATTCCTTCTTTCTTTCTTTTGTTTCAGTTACCGAAAAGGAAATTCGACAGTGGTAAGTTTTACGTTACACATACACACACACACACATACACATATAATAATATATATTATATTTAAATATATATTTTGTGATAAAAAAAACTCTGAATAATAATTTAATCAAATCTTTTGACTAATCATTTTTCTCAGGCACAAAGGTTTTCTCAAGGATTGTCCAGATGGTTTATTAACCGAAGAGGTAAGAAATCATTGCGAAAATTTTTATATCAATCATTTTACGATTGTTTACTTGTTTTTTTATCGCGTCGTAAAGAAAAATTTATAAATAATGTAACACGTGAAATATGACAAATTTTAAAAGAGATTGACTGTAAAAAAAAAAAAAAAATCAAACGAATTGAAATATTGAAATAGAATTTTTTTCAATAATAGCTTTTTTTTTTCTTCTCTCATTCAATCGAGTCTAACAAAATTGTTCAATTTCATTTGAAATTTTCAGGGTTTTATTAAAATCTACAAGCAGTTCTTTCCCCAAGGTGATCCATCCAAGTTTGCATCCCTAGTCTTCAGGGTGTTCGACGAGAACAGCGTGAGTGTCAGCAAATTATATGAGAGTTCACTTCCGGTTGCATATCCTTGCATTCAATTTTATTACATCCGAGAGAGATGTTATATAACAATTTATGAAACTTATTAAAAAATTACACAAACGTCATTCAATAAATAATTAAATTCATTAAATAATTCAAATAATAATTTGTCAATTTTTATTCTAACGAATATTATTCCAAAAACAATTTCTACGAATGATCGAATTAAATAATAATGATGATGATGATGATTAAAAAACAAACAAACAAATAAACGATAGATATTAATTTAATTTTTATTTTAATAAGTATGATATTTTTTTTCTTTTCTTTTTTCTTTTTTATTTTTTCAGGATGGCACGATAGAATTTGAAGAATTCATAAGAGCCCTTTCTGTTACGTCACGAGGTAAATTGGACGAGAAGCTACACTGTAAGTAACTAACGAGTTGCTAAGAAAAAGTAGGAGGAAGGTTTTAGGGAGGAAATAGGAAGAGGAGGAGGAGAAGGAGTAGAAAGGGTAGATCCTTTTCTCAAGGAGATAAACTTTATCTTTGTGAAAATATAAGAGAAAAGATTTTTCTACTATTTCTGAGAAACTCTTATACGGGATTTAACCCTCTATGAGAGAGGAACGTGTAATTTTTCATACTTTTTTCTTTCTCTCTCTCTCTTTCTCTCTCTCTTTCTCTTTCTCTCTTTTATTTTATTAGATTCGTCAATTTTTTCATTTATTTTACTATTATTAATCTCTACTAATATATATTATAAAATAATTCATATTTATAACATATAATATAATACAATTTGATTTATTTTAATAAGAAATTTACTTTATATAAATCTTTTTGTTTAATCCTATATATACAGGGTGTCCAACATAACTCTAGTCACAATTTTTCAAGTACTTGTGATATATAACATGACAAACAAAAATACTTTAAATAAAAGTTGATCTGTTTTTTTGATTGATTATACATTGCAATAAAAGAAAGTTAGACAGAAATTTTTCTTTTTTTTTTTTTAATGTCTTTTAAGGCTACCCTTTATTTTTTTAAATAGCACTTAGTATTTTTGACTTAACAGTATTATAGCTATACTAAGATCTTTGGATGGCCATTAAAGCAAAGAAATACAAATTTCACACACAAACAAGCACAAATTATATATTAATATTTTGTATACTAATATATCAAGTGCGGATTTTAATGATTTTTATATTAAATTAAAGTGCACTCTTTTATCTATACGCGTAGAATATTTATTCAAGTTATAAATCTATCTACAAAGGTTTAGAAAATGTCAAAGAATACAATGCTGTAAATTTTTACAAATATTATGTGTAATAAAT